GGGAAGGAAGGACATCCGGTTCTCCCACCCCTTGCAGTGAAGCAGCGCTATCCTGAATAAAGGACCCCTTTAATGCTGCCGCTGCTGCTGCTGGCCCCGCAGTCCAGTCGGGAGCAGCTTCGCCCACACAAAGCTGCTGAATGGGAGCACATCAATACAGCCCCTCCTCTGCAGAGCCCTATAAACCGTTCCCCAAGAACATGAATCCTCCGGCCGAGAGCATTTTAGGCAGTGTTGTCTTTTGAGGTAGAGACAGTGGCTTGTGCAGGTGGGAGGGTTAGCTCCTCCCAAGCAGACGGAGAAGCACCAGAACAGGTGAAAGGGAGGCTGGGAGCTGCAAGGAGGGGGCGGTAGTGAGTTTTAGGGATTATACTATGAGCGGGCCTAAAGGAAGCCCACGCAGAGGGTCCAAGCCTGAGCCCAGGATGAGGTACAGCAGGGAACTCCACTCCCCCAGGCTCTGGAGAGAGCTAACGGGCCCTGGATCCCTTTGAGAAGGAAGGATCCCGTGGGGGGGGGGGGGGACAGCATGTGGAGAACGCCTCCCAGCCCTCTCACCAGAGTCCAGTCTCCTGCCAGCCGCAGCCACGGGAGTCACGTGGTCTTGCCCCCTGGGGCCTGGTGTTCCAGGCGTGGCTGGCAGGCAAAAGATGTCCAGCAAGCTTGGAAGCCTGTGAAACCCAGGTGTAAGACCACAGCTGCCCAAGGCCGGGAGGGAGGAGGAGAATCTGAGTGGAGGCCTGGACAAAGCTGGTGGGTGACAGGGCCGTCTGCTGTCTTGCTGGTGGCACACCCAGCGGGGCACAAGGCCAGCCTCTGCTCAGAACACCAAGCTGGTGGCTACGGAGGGGGTGGGGGGCAGGGGACAGAAAGGGCCCTGAAGAGCACCCACAGGGTGGCCTGTGAGCCTCTACTGCCACTGCTGGGGGTCTAAGAAGATTGTGAGTCTGATCAATGCAGCATTCCTAGAGGTGAAAAGTGGTCACTAGGAGACACTGTGGGAACTCCCATGAGCAGTGCCCCCCGGGGGACCCTCAGCTGAGACAAGGAAATGCCATCACTTGGCAGCAGCGTGTAGTCCGGCAGACTGTCAGGGAGCTGATGAGAGGCTGGGTGATTGGGTGTGTGGATGGACTTCCTGGGACAGGCCCAGAGTTTGAGGACGTTCATGCCCCACAGGGAAGGAGGCTCGCTCGCTCACACTCACACTCCTGGAGCTGCTGTAACAAATGACTCAAGTGAGTGGCCGTAATGAGCACAGGTTAATACCAGCTCCAGGCCAAGCTCTGTCGGCTCTAGAGGAAAAATCCTGGTCTCTCGTTTCTGTGCCTTGGGGATGGCCATGTGGCATATCGCCTATTCCTCCATCCCTGCTGGACTACTTGGTCTGATGCTGAATCTGCCCCATGATGGCTCAGAAGAGATTGATTTAAGATGTACCTTACATTAATGCCGCCTGTTAACATAACAGAGCCCTGGTGGCATAGTGTTTATGTGCTGGGCTTTGATCTGTATGGTTGGCAGTTCAAAATCACCACTCCTATAGACCGTGACAGTATCGGAAGCCCATGGGGAGTCACTCTGAGTGGACATTGACTTGTTTTTTGGTATTAACAAAAGACCCACTCCCCGATGGGCATCTCACTCAATGCTATCAAGTAGATTCCGATTTACAGTGACCCCATAAACCTGACCCGCTGCCATCACGTTGACCCTGACGCACAGCCTCTCACTAGGGCTGAGTAGAGCTGCCCTGTGGGCTTCTGAGGCTGTCAATCTCAGTGGGAACGGACAGCCTTATCCGTCTCCTACAGAGCAGCTGGAGGGCTCGAACTACCAGCTTTTCCATTCGCAGCCCAATGCTTAGCCCAACACATACTCGGGGTACTTTTCAACCCCAATCTCCCCAGGCCCTTAAGGCTCCTAATCAGGCGGGCAAGGAAGTTGACATGCTGGTCAGACTCTCTGCCACCACAGTGGTGTTAGTGTAACCAGCGTGGCCACAGGGACAGAAGAGATCAGTATGCCTGGCCCAGCAACATGGGGCTCCCTGTTTCCCCTCACTAAGGCTGCCCTGGCTATAGCTCTTGCTAAAGTTCCCAGTGACACCAACAGTCTTTTGGTGTCACTGGGAACTTTAGCAGCCAGTCCCAGCAGCAGAAGAGGTAGAGGGGTGACCAGTTCACCTGGCAGGAGGTGGCTTTTACTGAAATCACACTGCAGGAGAGGTGGAGGGTTGGATTGACCAGCTCCCTGCTTCCCGCAGCGTCCATGGAGTGATGCTGCTTCCAGACACAGTGGCAGCGACGAGCAGTGGGCTTGTGCTGGCGGGAAGCCATTTTCCTTTGTAGCGCCTCCCTGTCCAGGCAGCTGGCCCTAGAGATGTTACCGCCCATTTCAGAGAGGCAGTCTGGCCTGAGGTGACAGGATCGGAGGAGGCTTTGTCGAGCTCCTGCCAGGTGTAACCAAAGTGCTCACTCACATACGGTGCCCCGATTTCCAGCCGCAGCACAATGGCAACCTTGGAGACCCAAGCACAGCTTCACCGGGAGCAGGACCCGCACGTGCTCTTTGGGGGCACACGGCAGCTGGGACTCGCCCATCGGCAATGTCTCCTGCTTCCACTGCCAAAGTGAGAGCTCACAGGGTAGCCTAGGAGGGTTGCCGGTCACGTGTACATCCAGCCACGTGAGCATGTGCACATCTGCACCAGTGGGGCCTGTGAATGTACTTTTGTGCGTACTTGGCCTTGCACACGTGTGTGTGTGTGTGTGTGTGTGTGTGTGTGTGTGTGTGTGAAGGCCTTCTGTGTGTGTTGGGGGCCTCTTCCCTGTGTCACAGTGCAGTTTCCTGAACCTCAAGTCATTTCACTTCCCAGGTTCATTGAGCAGGCTTGTCCCTGTGCCTGCATGGGCTCAGAAGCTGAGGTGCAGGCACACGTGGCAGACTCCATCTCAGCCTGGACCAGTGAAGGCCGAGGAGTTGCCCTGCTAACTCAGTTCCCCTTCAGATGCTCTCAGACCTCATGCCTCTGCACTGCTGCC